TTCACTGAAATCCCTGCAGTGGTTCTTAAGATATTTTTCTAACAGACAAACAGACGCAGGTAAAAACATGATCGCCCTGCTCTCGCCTCAAGGGGCAGGTGATAATGATAAGATGAAAGCTCAAAGACGCGGCGCCGAACACACGGAACACAACCGAAACAGCTCGGAGGCCTTTAAGGATCCAATCCTGACCTAATTATCAGAAATTAAAGCGGATCAGAATTAGCTTGATTTTTTTTAGGTAATTAGCGGCGGGCGTTTTATTCTGTGTGAGCGGCTGAATCAATCCGGCACCGACCAGTCGTCACGGAGCGCCACAGCCAGGACCGGCAGAACCCCCGATGGAGGGAGGGGGAGGATTTATGCTGATGCCTTAGGTATGATTTATATTATGTGTTCCAGCGCTGCGTTCACCGTGACGTCCTCGAACGCACCGCAGCGTGGCTAACAGTGGCTCGATGCTGAGGCTTTAAACAGCCTTGCGGTTCGATGGCAGTGGCCTTCAGGTTGGAGCCTTCACCTGTCAGCACTGTTAAAAATGGAGGACAGAGCAGGAAGCAGGACAAATGGTTTTACCCGTCTGTTAGCAAAATGTCTCATCAACCACTCGATGAATTTGAATGAAACCTTCAGGAAATAATCACTGGATGTGCATCTAGAATTGTTTAACTCTTGGAGTCAACCTGATTCAAGATGGCCGCCACACCCTACTGACCTTAAAAAACACATAAATGGCTACAACTCAGTCAATTTTACAGACACTGAGCTGAAATTTGTCGTGGTAGTAGCTGAGACTGATCCCCAACACATATTCTGAGTGCTCAAAGATCTATTGCACTCGACTCTGTCTGTCTGTTAGCAAAATATCTCATGAATGGATTTTATTGAAACTCGTTTACAGCTGATTACGTATCGGAGTCGATCCAAATAAAGATGACCGCCACAGGTACTCGACAGACGGTTTGTTTTGTTTATGACGTGTGAAGACGTCAGCCAATCACACGACCGCAGGAACAAAACTCTTCGTTAGGGCCGGTAATTTGCTGTCACCTCGCCTCTCCAACGACCTTTGACCTTGCCCACAATTACGCATCCACCGTGTTTTCACTGCAGCAGAGGCAGTCATGGCCGCCCGAGTCCGATGGCACCTCCTCCTCCTCCTCCCGGTGGACTGCAGCAGGTTTTCTTGTCATCCTCCCTCTCTCCCTCTCTCTTGTCAGTGTTGCTCCTGGCGAAAGGCTGATACTTGATATTCAGAGGATAGCAGCTTTTGTCTCAGAGATTTAATCAGTGGCTCTGCTCCCACTGCAGAGAGGGGGGAGATGGAGGGTGTGTGTGTGTGTGGGGGGGGGGGGGATGGAGGCAGAGACTGTTTATGTGTAATGACACAATAACAAAGCCTGCCTGTAAAACACAATCTGCAAACTGTGCTTTTGAAGGGGATTTTCAGCCCTGGATTAGTGTCAGGCAGAGGAGGTGATTTCTGTTGCAGTGGCTGTAAACGTGTCTTCTTTTTATAAAAATGGTTTATTTGTCTCTGTGTGGACACACAGTCGTAAGCAAAAGACGGAGCTCGAAGCTGACAGATGCAAGTGAAATATTTGACCGAACGGCTCGTGTTTGTTTGTTGCTTGATAATGGCGGCTCTTTGAGACGTTAATGGAAAGCTCAGATTTTTTTTTAAATTAATGCACCGTGTCCATTTAGCTCCAGCTGAAAGGACTCCGAGAGAATCAGTTCTTTTAAGGACCTCGGACAGATCTTTCAGGTTGGAAGATGTTCCCTTTCAGGCTGCAGGTGTAAAAAAATGTGTTTTCATTTGTTCAGAGGCGCTTCTGAGGGAGGGGGGCACCCTTTAAACCCAGTTCTTTAAAGTTAGGTCGTTGTGTAAAATGTAAATGAAACAGAATGAAAGATTTTTCAGTTTCATAAACTCATTTTATTCACAGTGGAACAAAATAAAACATTTCAAATGTTGAAACTGACAAATTGAACCTTTTTTTGTCGGGAAAAGTTTAAATTTTTGCAGCAACACGTCTTGAAGAAGTTGTTGTAGATCCACGTTTCCTTTGAAGCATCTCCTCTTCGTTTAACAAAAGATTGGGAAGGTCCAGGACCTGAGGAGACCAGTTGTTGGAGGTTTTGATGGACCTGATGAGACCAGTTGTTGGAGGTTTTGATGGACTTGATGAGACCAGTTGTTGGAGGTTTTGATGGACTTGATGAGACCAGTTGTTGGAGGTTTTAATGGACCTGATGAGACCAGTTGTTGGAGGTTTTGATGGACTTGATGAGACCAGTTGTTGAAGGTTTTGATGGACTTGATGAGACCAGTTGTTGAAGGTTTTGATGGACTTGATGAGACCAGTTGTTGGAGGTTTTAATGGACCTAATGAGGCCGGTTGTTGAAGGTTTTGATGGACCTGATGAGACCAGTTGTTGGAGGTTTTGATGGACTTGATGAGACCAGTTGTTGAAGGTTTTGATGGACCTGATGAGACCAGTTGTTGGAGGTTTTAATGGACCTGATGAGACCAGTTGTTGGAGGTTTTGATGGACTTGATGAGACCAGTTGTTGAAGGTTTTGATGGACCTGATGAGACCATTTGTTAGCGGTTTTGATGGACCTAATGAGGCTGGTTGTTGAAGGTTTTGATGGACTTGATGAGACCAGTTGTTGGAGGTTTTAACGGACCTGATGAGACCAGTTGTTGGCGGTTTTGATGGACTTGATGAGACCAGTTGTTGGAGGTTTTGATGGACCTGATGAGACCAGTTTGAGGTTTTTGTGGGAATATTGTCCCATTCTGATCTGATGGAGGATTCTAGCTGTTCAGCAGTCCTGGATCTTTTTTGCAGATGTTGTTCTAAAACCTGTAGACACTTTCCTGTATTGATGGAGTATTTCCAGATGTGTAAGCTGTTCATACCAGAGGGACTAATGCAGCCCTATACCATCAGAGAGGCAGGGGTTTGAACTGTGAGCTGATAACATCCTGGATGGTCCCTCTCTTCTTTAGTACAGAGGACGTGGTTTCCAGACAGAACTTCAGATTTGGACCAGTCTGACCACAGAACAGTTCTGGACTTCGCCTCAGTCCATTTGAAATGAGTTCTGGTCCAGAGAAGATGGCAGCGGTTCTGGATGATGTTCACATCTGGCTTCTTCTTTGTCTGAGAGCTTTAAGCAGCATCTGTGGATGAACTGTTTACAGACAATGATCTGTGGAAGTGTTCCTGAGACCAGAACCTGAACAAGAACCAGACCCATTTTAATGCAGTGGACCCTGAGGGTCTCGTCCTTTGAGCTCAGATTTCTACAGATTCTTGTAATCTGTGGATCAGATTATGACCTGGAGATGATGGAGATTAAAGTCTTTCATTCAGGAACTTTATTGTGAAATTGTTGCTCTAGCATTAGACAGAGTGCTGAACCTCTGCCCATCTTTACTTCGAACAGTCTGTTTTACATTCACACCTGTTGACACTTCACCTCATTAGTCACTAAATGTTCCTCTAGCTGGTTCTGATTTGTACCTCGTACATTCACAGCCTTTTGTTCCTCATGGAACTATTTCTTATAGATGTTATGAAAATGCTTTTTTTTTTTCTTCTAAAATTGTTACGGTTTCGTAGTTTCAGAGTTAAACAAAGATTTATGAGATTCGCTACTCATTTCATTCTGTTTTTATTGACATTTTACAGGACTGGGGGATTGTTGGGGCGGCTGTGGCTGAGTGGTTAGAGCAATCGTCCTCCATTGCAAGAACTGGGGGTTCGATTCCACCAGCAGTCACATGCCGAAGTGTCCCTGGGCAAGAGACTGAACCCCTCATTTCCTCTGATGTGTGTCCCATCAGTGTCTGAATGTGATAAAGCACTGATTATTCTCGGTATAGATTAGTAGAGTGCTGTATGGATGGGTCAATGAGGGCACAGATTGTGTTGTAAAGAGTTTTGAGTATCTTGATAAGATGGAAAGGAGCTATATAAGTACAGTCCATTTGTATTTTTTGCTGAAATAATACAGTACCTCGTTCTCTTTTGACTGATTTTTAAATCTGTTTTACCCCTGACTGGACCTGTAGATTCCTGTCGGAGACGGTTTCAGGTCGTCCCGGTCCTGAATGAGTCAGTCGGGTCATTTGATGGAAACATGAAGCAGAACTCAGTGAATGTTGTTTTGTGTAACTCCTCGTTGTCGTCTGTAATTGACCTGATTCATTCTGTAAGTGAGAGTCAGACTGAACAGGTGAGTCCTGCGTTTCCCTTTAAAACATGGCACGATCTCAGCTGACCGGAGGGACCTGAGTAACTTGGAGGAGGCTCGTTATGGTCTGGGTTTCTGGGGTGTCCTTCAGTCTGTGTGATGAAATCTCAAGACTATCAAGGCATTCTAGAGCTCATTTTACTGCCTGGAGGCAGAAACCTTGGTCTCAGTTTCTTATGGTAAATGGACTGTACTTACATAACGCCTTTCTATCTTATTATTTAAGAAAAGGGACTAACATTCCATTCGACAAAAAGATTTTCCCTCTGGTCGAGCGTCACATTACACCTCAGCCCCGCTAAAACAAATCTCTGATCCACCGGCGGTTGGATCGTGCGGTACGGCTGTGTTTCTGTGCGTCTGAGTGAAGATGGCTGACAGAACTGACAAACGTGTTATTTATCCATTTTGTGCCTGAGCTTTTCTCTTTCTTCCTCCCCTAACCTCTGTCACTTCAGCGTCAGCGGGCTGAGTTCTGCTCGGCTCGGGAACACCTTCTTGGGCTTTTTCTGGTGTCAGAATGTAGAACCGGCGTCCGTTATCGTGGTCCTCAAACATGTCATCATTCGCCGTACCCTGTCTTCAATCAATACGGGCTGGGAGCCAGTGAGCATGGCTAAATAGAAATATTGTTCAGGGGAAGTGAGATGTGAAAGGAAAAGTGTGTGTGTGTGTTAGTAGGTGTGTGTTTCTGCTATTGTAACCCTGCTGATTGGATTGTGTTTGACAGATATGGAGTCTGGAGAGCGGCTGGCCTCCCCTGCGCCCACCCTGTCTGCTGCTCGCACCTCCTCCCCTGCGGCCTCTTCTTCCTCCTCCTCTTCCTCCTCCTCCTCGTCTCCTGCACCCCACTCTAAGAGCAGCCTGGCCCCGAGCCCGTCGTTGCTGGGATCCACCCTGAACACCTCCGGTAAGGAAACGTTTTTCTCCTCTATGTGTCAATCTTAAAAACACAAACACAGACGGGAGAATTACCCACAACCCCCTGAGTGTGGTCACCTTCAAGTCTCGATAGCATTCAGAACGCTCCTCATGTCTCTACCATGAAGAAATTAGTTTCCTCCAGTATTAATTATGCAGTTATTTTGCAGCCGGTGTGAATGCACCTCTCTCCCAGCATTTTTTTTTTGTCCTGACAGCTTGGGTTGCGATTGAAAAGCTGCTGCATTAATGAATCCCAAACAATTAGGGGGCTCTTTTGTGTGAGAAACACACACATGCTTCGCCATGTCTCCTGACAACCTTCAGCTCTCCAGCTCCAGCTGCCTCAGAGTCAGGCTCAGCATGCCGCCGTGCACGTGTGTGTCTGTGTGCGTGCATGCCAGAAACACACAAACATGGAGGGAGAAAGAGCCTCTGCCTGCATGATTTAACATTTGTTAGCCACTCAGTGTCTAGTCAGCCCTGTCCGGCCTCCAGCTTCCTTTCTGTGTGTTGGTCAAAGCTGTTAGTGTGTGTGTGTGTGTGTGTGTGTATGTGTGTGTGTGTGTGCGTGCTAAAAAAAGTAATTTGCTCATATTCCTCCTCATCTCAATGTTTTCTTCTACACACTCGGACTTGCGCAAAGTCGTGGACAGGATATCTGACGTTTGCATCCTTTTTCTCTCCGTTACGAGAACAGGAAATATAAAATATAAAATGCTTCTACCCCCCCCCTTCCCACCCCATCCCCACACCCCGTCCTTCACATCCTCAGCGTCGCCCTGAAGACGAGGATCTTCCTCTCATGCGTCCCTCTTATTCAAAATCAAACATTCGAGGTGAACAAACGTTTTAGACTCCAAACGACGAGCCGAGTGTCGGAGAGTTTGGCTGCAAAACTTGGATTTTAATTCAGACCAAAGAAGAAATTCTTCTCAAACGAAAGTCCAAAACATAATTTGTGTAAAGAACCGTAAAGACTAGAAAAGAGTAACCCTTATTTTTATGTAGGGATGCACGATATTATCGGCATGGTATCGGTATCGGCTGATATTATCAATAAAGTTAAATATCGGACATTGGCCATTCCATCAAAATCACACCAATATAAAAGGTGCTGTTTATATATACGTATGTTTAAGGTGCTGTTTTTGTATGACAACCCAGCGATAAGGATGTCTGCAGCGCCAGCACGTTATGACGTGGCATCAGTTATCAGCCAAATAAGTTTTAACATATCGGATATCAGCCAAAAATTCAATATCGTGCATTCCTAGTTTTTATGTATTTAAAAAAAATTAATTAAAGAAAATGTGCACAAGTTTAGAATACACATCCTAGGATGTACGAACATATCTGGGTCCATATAAGACCTAGTTTAGGTTTGGGTCTGGGCTGCGGTCCGACATTTGAGAACCCTTACCATAAACTCTGGAAAAGCTGAGCTACATAAAGTTCATTACCAAGAATGTGAGAAAGTGTGTGCGGTTAAAAATCTGTACAATCTGTTTAAATTCCCCGACCAAGCTGGGTCCAAATTGGACTTTGTTTGGGTCTGGATCTGGTCTAAAAAGCCAAACACCTCATTTTAATTTTAAGCTTCAAATGATCCAAATTTGAAGCAAAGCATTTTGGACTCAAAGCAACAGAACATGTCACGTGCGTTTGTGTAAATGTGTTTGTAGTCGTCGAGATCGTCGCACACTCCGGCACGATCCAGATTCTTTACAGACGGGCCAGTTTAAAACATAAAAACTAAATACAAAACACAGCTCCGACCGTCTGCTCGTGTCATTGATGAGGATATCACTCTGAGAATAAATAAAAGCTGATCGGCGCTCGTGGCGCTCGCTCCTTATGGGATCAACTCACGGATGCAATTAACTTAAATCTGTCTGTGGAAATTTGATTGACTGCAACAAACAACAAATTAATCCCCCCTCGGCGGCATCCAAATCTGGGGGAAAACGCAGGCGGTGCAGTTTGTCAGAGCCGAGGAAGGACTGGAGCAGAGTGCAGATTAAAAGTCTTCCTTCGCTGGAAGGAGTGCACGTCGCCCACCGCCTGTCGGGCCACAGTTTCAGGCGGAGGTTACCTCGTGTTGAGAAAAGACGAAGCTGTGGTCGTCTTTGTGTCGTTGAACTTCAACTTCCAGTTCTGTTGAGGAAAGTTTGCAGCTGAGTGGGAAGCACCTCTAAATCTGAGGCCCTGGTCCTTTGACCACTCTGGTTCAGACAGAGGTTTTGTCTCAAGTGGAGTACCTCAGGGCCGTGTTGGTAGGTGAAGAAAGAAGGGAACAGGAGATCGACAAGCAGATCAGGGCGGTCTTTACCGGTCGTTCTACGCGCCAACCCTCACCTAAGGTTACGAGCTTTTAGTGGTGACTACGAAACTGAGATTGTGAAAACAGGTGACCTAAATGAGACCCTCCGCAGGGTGGCCGTGCTCAGATTTAGAGACAAGAAGAGGAGCCCAGAGACTAACAATGCTCCTGCAGAGACTCAGCTGAGGGGTTTGGACATCTGGTTCATTCCCTGTGGAGGCGTTTAGGGCATATCCTTCCAAGAGGAGACCCTCCCTCCAGGAGTGAATGCTGTGAACAGTGAATGCTGTGGCCGGCCTCCTTCCAGGAGGGTCTCCTTCATCAAGGATAACCACAAAGATGACCGTATCTCTCACCTGGCCTGTAAACGCCTTGGGGGACCCCTTTGGAAGAGATGGTGACGGTTTCTGGCCAGAGGACGCTGCCCATTCAGCTCAGATAAATGAAAGACAAGTTTCATTCAAATCCAAGATGTTTTGTTTCAGACAAACACAGAGGCACGGAGCAAAAACATTATCGCCGCTTCGCCTTTGGCAGACAAAAAGTGGGTGAGGAAGAGTGAGTGCCTCTTCTTCACTCCAGGATCTTGGATTTAATTATTCGCCTTCTGGAGGCCAGCATTAATATTGAAAAGGCATTTGCAGATGTCACTTTGTGTTGCGTAGAATGAAAGGAGGGTTTCAGGCGGGTGTGTGTGTGTGTGTGTGTGTGTGTGTGTGTGTGTGTGTGTGTGGTGGGGGGGGGTTAAGTGAATGCTGTGGCCGGCCTTTTTTTAAGTTGGGGGGGGGGGGGGTTGCAGTCGTTTATCTTCGTATCCACTAGCTGACGCTGGCAGGGCGGGTATTTATACATATTCAGCATATTCTAATGACATTCAAAAGGCAGAGTTTGGCGTCTCGTGGCGGAGGAGGACCTTGAAACGAGCACAAAGAGCTTGTACAGCTCACCATTAAGGTGCCGTGGAGGCCTCAGAACCACAGCCGGTTCTGTTGGGCTCAGCTGCCGAGCCTTAAACTGACCCCACGATCAGATCCTCCACACTAGATCAGAAAGCACCGCACCTCACTTTGACAATCTCATCTGCAACACTTCTGCTTTCCTTGAAGTCATCACTTTTTTCTTTTGTGCAGCTCACGCAGAGGTGTCGGAGCAGACTCACCCCCCACACACACACACGCACACTTTTTTTTTTCTGGAATAGAAATTGAATTTGCATGAAATATGCTCGCACTAAATTGCATCTGACTCCGGGAGGAGGTAATACGCGGCAGTCGCCCCTGCCAGGAGTGATTGTGCTCAGGAAAACGCGAGACGATGATGATGATGTTGATGAAGTATTCTTCTGCGCTGAAATTGAGCGCCGAGAGCGCGGGAGGAGGTTTTACACCTTCTGTTCCCTGGCGGAGGTTATCCAGATCTGTTGTTCTGCGGCACGTTCTGGTGCTCGTTTTGAACGTAACAAATGTTAACTAGACAAATAAAGCAGGTCTGCACCACAACAAAGACGTTAACGGTGCGAACGCCGAGTCACTTTTTATTGTTTATACGTTACTTACAATCAACCTACTTCTGCATACTTTGTGCTATTTTAGCTGTTTGTACATCAAAACATTAGGCTCATTCAGGAGATGGGCGCTGCAACGTTTATTCTTTGTCACTTTTATACTTTAAGAATTTTTTATTTATTTATTTACATATATTTTCTCCATAAAAACATGGAGATCTCTACATTTCTTTTTTCTTTGTAACCTGCTTTTACTACTGTCTCTGTTTCTCAAGCTGTTTTTGGCTTTTAGGCACTTTTTTGGTATTTTGCTACTTGTAGCTTTTAGTTAGCATTGTTATAAATGCTTTTTTATTGCTTTATTGGTAGATTTAATTAGCTGTTTTCTACTTTTAGTTAGACATAGTCTATATCCAGTTTTTAGCTAGACGTCGCTTTTACTTTCAGCTAGTGTTTTACACCTTTTAGTGTTCGTGTAGTTTTAGCTTTTATCTCACCAAACTACACTTAAACCATTGGAAAGTCTCTACAATTGGGCCTTGAAGGTTTTATACTAAAAGCCAGTCAGATTTCATCACTGTAATATTTTAGCTAAGTTCTGTATTCTAGAATTTTCCAATTTTATAAATTGCAATTTAAAAAAAATTTGATCTTCAGATGTTTAAATGGACTTGCACCCAGACCATTAAGCAATTACACAGAAATTGCAGGACTCCAACAGATCTACCAGAGCGGCTTTAAATGGCAACTGTTCCTTTTTGTAGAACAACTTTTGCTCAAAGTGCTCTCTCTGTGAGAGGATCCACAATTTGGAGCTCACTCCAAGTTAATTTAAAGTCGGTAACCAGATTCAATATGTTTAATAAACACACTAAACTCTGGCTGTGTCAAAAACAGCATTGCACTCATGCTTAATGTATTTTATTATGTTTTTAATCCATTTGTTTTATTGTGTATGACTCTTGTTTATGTTGTTAATATTATTTTTAATTAATTTACTCTTGTTTTACCATTCCACTTCCTAGTAGTATCTTAGACGTCCTGTTTATAAAAGCCCATCTAGGGACAAGTGCTACAATTAGCTAATGCTGTAAATGCCATGATACAAGCACAGGACTGCTGCTTTATTCAGTTTGTCCATCTTGTTGTGTGTCAGTCCATAAACAATAAATAAATAAATAAACTATCTTTACTGCATGTAGGTTTTAGCTTGTCTTTGATGTATTTAGAATTTAGTGTTTAGATATTTGTTAGCTTTTAGCTATTGTTTTAGCATGAATAGACCACCTCTTGCTACTTTTAGCTTTTAGCTACATTTTCTACATTTAGTTGTTTTTTAGCTAGCTGTTGCAACTTTTAAATTTTAGCTAGTTTGGTGGTACTTTCAGTTTTTTGTTAGCTTAGCCACTTATAGCTTTTAGCTATCGTTCTGATTATTTTAGCTGTTAGTATTTTTGTACCTTTTAGATTTTAGTTTAGCTAGTTTTGCTTTATTTGCTACTTTAAGCTTTTAGCTAGTGCTTTTCTCCTTGTAACTATTGTTCTGCTTATTTTAGCTTTTAAAAGTAAAAAAAAAAAACTTCAGCTAAGTTCAACTGTCATTCAGCTCACGTCATTCATTCTGTACGTTCACAGAAAATTATTTCTCCAGTCTACACATAAGTGCACTATCAGTTCAGTTTTCAGAGAAAATAAATTTAACATCAGGTGAAATAACAGCCGAAAGAAAAAGAAAGTTTTCTTTGAGTGAAAAGTTCAATTTTGAATAAATTCTTACTCAAACAGAAACGGTCTGTATTTAATTTTCTGTCCAGTCAGGTGGATAAAAAGTGACACCTTCAAAAGGTTTTAAAGTATTTTCAGTTTTTTACCCTGTCAGTTTTACAAGAACCAAGAAAAAATGAATTGTGGCCGATGTTTCCTGCCTGTAACAATAAACAAACAGAACAAACAAATAGGATAATTTATGTCAAAGAGCTAAAACAAAAGGTGAAGAGATGGAAAAAAATAATAATTTTGAAGAGGAAATATTGACCAAGCTCATAGCATGTGTGCTGTTAAGTAACAAGTTAATTATCTTTAAACAAGACAATAAAATTGACTTAAAAATGCAAAATAGTAAAAATGAAACGATACTATGTCAACAAAACCTGACATGTAGTGCAGAACTAGGATCAACAGAGGAGGAAAGTGAAAAGTTTTTGGTTAAATTTCTAAAAACGTTGTTTCTAACTTCAGCACTAACCCTAAATATACGTGACTGTCGGGGTTTACAATAAACAATAAAGTTTACAATAAATAATAATAATAACAATTATAATAATCCAACCTTACATTGGATTAGACTTGTGTGTAGCCAATAAAACCACTCTAATTTGGATAAATTAGGTTTGAAATGCGGTGAGAAGGAAGGTAAGTGGGATCATGCCCCCCATGGTTGAGTTGGAACCAGGGCTCCAGATTGACTAAATCTACCTCTGGCTGGTGGCATGAAATTCAAATATCATCTAAAAACAAAGAAAACGTTCATTAATTTAAATTCTGTTAAGTTTATTATCCTCCTTACGACCTGATCTGTCTGTAGGAGAATAAAGTTTGAGTTCCTTTTACTGTTTTCATGTTTGTTGAATGTGAAGTTGTCGTAGCTCCCGCTGTTTGCGCTCATGTTGTGGGTTTCTCTGTCCAACACGTCAACACGTCCTCCTCTGTTCTGCTGCAGGCCGTCTGTTTGGAGCTGCAGGAGAGACGCCCTTCATCGGCTCCACGTTGTCAAGTGCCTTCCCTCTGGTCAACCACCCAGCCTTCGGAGCCCTGTACACCGCCGGAGGGGGCCGGCCCGAGTTCGGAGGTCTGGGCTCCATCGGGATGTCGGCTGCTCTGGCTGCCCACCCGCAGTTAGGAGCCCTGTCCGGTAAGAAGACGCCGTTTTGCCTTCTGAGCAGCGATTGAGGGAACGGTGCGTTTTCTAAAACCTTTCCGTGTTTTCTCAGATTGGTGGAGAGCTGCTGAAGCTCACGGACGGGGAGCCGCCGCCTTCCTCCCTTCTTTCTTCAGCTTCCCTCCGTTCTTCGCCCCTCACATTCAGCCCAATCACAGCACCGCTCCCGCTCAGATCAGGACCCCCGGAAAGAACAGCCACGACCCCCCTAAAGGTACTTACCCACCATCCAGACCGGTCTTTTCACTCCCACAGTGTTTCTTCTGAATCCACTTTACCCTGTGAGGAGATTTTCTCTATTTTCAGATGGATTTAATGACTTCAGCACTCACTGTTAACTTCTTTCCCTCGTGTTCTGTCTCATAATCTCTGCTCTTTTAATTTCACACTATCTTTTAATTTATCTTTTATTATGTAAACCGCTCATGTTGGGCTTATTCTTGTTGCGGACCGGCAACGTTTGATGAGATACATGCATAAATCAATATTTTTATTAGCCTCGTTTCTTTCTGTGCTCAGTTCCAGATATTCAATTAGCCCTCGTCGCACAGTTCTCAGAAGAGATTAAACCGGGTCCTAATGGTTCTGTGTTTTCAGGGGTGAATGGAGCAGTGAATGGCAGCGGGGTCTGTCCTCCCACCACACAATCGGTGAGCTATTCTGCGAGTTCGGCTCCGGTGCAGGCGCTGACAAAGCCGACCAAAACCTCAGACCCGTCCAACAGCCACCGGAGCAGCCCACAGAACGACCCTGCAGAGGAAGTGAAGACGACCGTGAAACCGAAAGATAAGGTAAAGTCTGAGGTTTGAGGTGGACGCGTTACAGTCAGAGGACACAGAGACTGGACTGTAAAGTCAAAGTCAGATTTATTTATAAAGCACATTTAAAACAGCAGATGTTACCAAAGTGCTTCACAATAAGATCAAGGCAGTAATTAAAGACAAAATAGCAAACAAGAAGTAATTAAAAGCATCAAAAATAAAAACAAAAAAGGAGACCGGACTACAAGAGACGGGGCTGAAGGAGACTGGACTGTAGGAAACTGGACCAATAAAACCTGAACGGAAAGAGATGGGACTACAAGAAACTGGACTTGAAGATGCTGGACTTTCTTTCCTCGTATTCATGACAAATTTAAACCTTTTATTTTTTATTTCAGAAATTGCGGAAGAAACCAACAGGCACATCTTTGGTCAGCAGCAGTGAGTCAGGCACGTCCTCGGACAGCTCGAGTGATGGGTCCCTCAGCAGTGACCTGGAGGACCTGGCTGAGGACGACGAAGACGATGATGAGGATGAGGACGATGAAGATGAAGATAAACAGAGCGAGTTATCAGACTCTGAGAAGCGAACAAAGAAGAGATCGAAGGTAAATGAGAAATATATTTCCTGCAAAACTGCAGCATGATGCTGAATAACTGCTGAAAGTAGCTAAAGAACCTAAAACTGAGTTGTTGAAGCTAAAACAAGCAAAACACTAAAGTTAAAAATACCAAAACACTACCAATAAGCTAAAGGTAGAAAAAGGCTAAATAAAATTTAAAGTAGTAAAAAGCTAGCTCAATGGAAAATATAGTGAAACACTAGCTAAAAGGTAATGTAATTTAATTCATTTCAGTTTATTTATATAGCGCCAAGTCACAACAGGTCATCTCAGGACACTGAATTCAATTAGTAACATTCTTTATCTAAGGAAGGAAGCCAGCAGATTGCATCGAGTCTTCGTCTCATGAAGCAAAGGGTTAAGTAGAAACAAAAAGTAGCAAAAGGCTAGGTAGAAGAAAAATATAGCAAAACAGTAGCTTAATGCTAAAAACTGGGTAAAGGTTTAGAAAACACAAGCTACTTATTTTAAGTAGCAAAGGGCCAACTTAAAGCTAAAATGGCAAAACCCTAGTTAAAAGCAAAATATAGCAAAAGTCTAGCTAGAAGTTTAATATATCAAAAGGGTAAACTAAAGGAAAAACAAAGCTAAATCTAACTGTAGCACAATTTAAAATAATTTTGTTGTCTTTCAGTGCAATGACAATAAAGCTTATTCTGACAATTTCAGGTAAAATCTCAGTCTCAAAATGCTATCTCTAAGCTTAAAGTTGCAAATCAATAGCTAAAATCTCAAACTAGCTAAAAGCTCAAAGTATCTTAAGACAGAACTATTTCTGAACTGGTTTCCTGAAGCATATTTTTTAAAGAGAACAACAATTTAGAAAGAACTAGAGATATTTTTGTATTTCAATGAGCAAAATATTTATAAATACAATTAAATATTTAAAAATAGTATGAAAGTTACACAATGCAAAAGTCACAGCATCTCCTGAATGAGGTGAATGTTTTGATTTATGAACAGCTAGAAATATCTTGGTAGAAAATGGCGGCGCGCATGACCACGGTGGCTCTTAACTCTCGAACAAACCTGGCTAGCGGCTGCTCTGCTCCAGCTGCAGGACTGTTTTGCAAACACAGATTGGAGCATGTTCGAACAGCAGGACCTCCAGGGTTTCTCTGAGTCCACTCTAACCTAAAATCTCAACCTTCCACTGCCTCAACAACTATAGGCCTACAGCGTTAACACCAGTGGTTGCCAAGTGTTTTGAGAGACTGTTGGCACAGCACATCAAGGACTGCCTCCCCCTTGCCTTTGATCCTCATCAATGTGCATACAGAGGAAATAGGTCTTCTGATGATCTACTGATCTCTACTGCCCTCCACACTCCTCTGACCCACTAAGAAGTCCCTAAGTAGTTCATCGGGATGCTTTTTGTCGACTTTAGTTTGGCTTTCAATACTATCCTTCCCAACATCCTGGTCGACAAGCTGGCTGCACTAGACTTACCCCCTCCCACACTTGAGGACTTCTTTACAAACCCTCCTTGGTCTGTAAAGATTGGTGCACACAGCTCCTCCATCTTGACGCTCAGCACTGGCTCCCCCAGGGTTACATGCTGAGTCCAGTCCTATTCACCATCTTTACCCATGACTGCACTCCCTCTCATCCCACCAACACCATCATCATATTTGCAGATGACACCTCCCTGGTGGGACTGGTGCAGATGAGTCGTCATATATGGACGAGGTGCAGCGTTTGGCAAAGGAGTGTGCCAGGAACAAAATGTCACTCAATACCAGAAAAACCAAGGATGTGGTCATGGATTACAGGAAGAGCAAGGCTGCTCCTGACCCGCTCTACATAAATGGTGACAGTGTGGAGAGAGTCCCCCACTTCTAACACTTTGGGACTTACATCTCAGAGGACCTTTCCTGGTCAGTCAACACCACATCAGTGGTTAAGAAGGCCCTGCAGTGAATCCACTTCCCGAGAGTACTTAGACGGAACAACTTGGAGACTAAGCTGCTGATAGCCTTCTATCGTCCCACCGTAGAGAGTGCGCTGGCAAACGCCATTACCATGTGGTACGCTGGCTGCACCACTTCTGGCTCCACCACTTCTGGCTCTACCACTGCTGGCTCCACCATTGTTGACAAGAAGAGGCTGCAGAGGGTGATCAGGACTGCTGAGAGAATAACTGGCTGTCCTCTCCCCTCCTTCAACGATATTGCCAACCCCCGCTGTCTCTCCAGGGCAAAGAGGATCCTCCAAGACCACCTCCATTCTGGACACCACTTACTCAGCCTGTTGCCCTCCAGAAGAAGGTACAGAAGCATTAAGAGCCACACAAACAGATTCAAAAACAGCTTCTTCCCATGGGCCATCTAAATACCCATTAAACTCCCTGCGTGCATCATTCCTCTAGTGCAACATGTTTGGTCACATTCAATCATCGATACATGCAGTACATTCAGTCTGCTTTCACTACCTCACCGGTATTCTTCTGTCCAGTACGTCTCTGTGTTTTCAGAACCGATATTTATTTTGTGTATAGGTCCGAATTGTTGTTTGTATGTATGTTGTTGTCTCAGTATTTCTTTTTAATCTTTTTAATCTTTTTAATAGTCAGTTGAGGCGCCTTCAGTTTCATAGTTCAGGCTGTTGAAGTTCAAGTTCGAGGTTCTTGTCATTCGCATCGCATGTGCTACATGAGGTGGAACGAAATTGTGTACACAGGGTCACAGTTACATCCAACAATAGCAAAAATATAAATTGTAAAAAGAAACTGTACTAAGGATCTAAGATATAAACTAAGAAATACGCTAAACACTAATAGTGCAAAAACAATACGCCGAACATCAACAGCATGAACATGAGTGTGTGTGAGTAGATGAGTACGAATGAATAAACTGAATGAACTGTGCAGCGACAGTAAAGACTATTCTGTTCTAAAATAGCACAGAGTTTACAGAAGTAGGTTGAAGAAACGAATGGAAACATAAGAACAGGAAAACAACATGTTTGTAAATGTGCCAACGTACAGAGTGAGCTGGTCATTCTAACGATTCTGGATTTCATTTCTCTTGTAGGTTCTGAGTTCCGGCTCTGGAACAGGAAAGACTGACAGACCCTTCCTCTCCAGGGAAATCCAGGACAGAAGAGACCCCCAAGCCAAGAAGGTGTCCTCCAACCCCCCAACCCTCGTGCCCCTTCCCTGTTCCGTTTCCCCACCCGTCTTGACCCAGACCTCCCCGCTGCAGAGCTCCAGGTCCCGGACCGAGGCGCCGCAGCAGCACTTGAGCGTGATTCAGTCCACCGGCCTGGCTGCCAACCCCAAGCCCCTGGCGCTCCTCACCCAGCCCCGCAGGGAGTCTTCCCCGTCGTCCTCCCCCATCGCCCTCACCACTTCCCCGAGAGCGTTCTCCAGCACCGCTTCTCCCAAACCCCCCAAACTGCTGCCCTCCTCCTCACCACAGCACCTGCCCCTCTCCCTCTGCTCCTCGCCGAAGCCCCTCTCCGTCCCCTCTCCGCCTCGCTCCACCCTGCTGGCGTCTACCTCCCCAAAACCTTTCGGCTTGACCTCGTCGTTAACGAGCGCCCAGAAAACCTCGCCGAAGCTGCCGAAGCACACCGTGCCCAGCGCCGCCAAGTCCAACAAGAGGAAGCTGCTGGAAGCGTCTCTGGCTCAGATCAACGAGTTCAGACTCAAACAGGTAGGCCGTAACAGAACTTTAATGTCGTTTCTAACCGTGTTCACACAAACGACTCAGCAGTTAACTCAGTCGGCTGCGAGAAGTAATTACAGCCGAACATTTAGTTTCAATGAGCGAAGTTATCCCAGTAAATGGTCTGTAATAAAAATCTGCTCTGAAGCTGAGTGGAGTTCAACCTGCAGCTGCTTGTTTACCACAAACGTTAGTTTAATTAAAAATAAGTCCTGACGGCTACAAGGCCTCCTGTTCCAGGGTTCTCCACATCAGAACACAACGACAAAAAAAATATTTATAGCAAAACCATAGCTAATGCTATAAATACATAACCGTAGCTGTAATTTGCAAAACTTTATCTAACCGCTAATGCCAGAAAAACATTAGGCAAAACCTTAAAACAGCAAAACAACAACTAAATGTTAATAAAAGATCAGTAGCCAAACCTTCATTTAGAACAGCAGTGACTTGAAGGTAAAACTAGAAAAACAAAAGCTAAAATTAGAAGAAGAAAAAAAAAAAAAAACAGCAGCTAACACCTAAAACCAGCAGAACAGTAGCTAAAAGCTAATATTAGTCAAACAATAGCTAATAGCTAAAGGCAGAAACCAGTAGTTAAAAGCAAAAACCAGTAAAACAATAATTAAAAGATAAAATTTACAATCAAGCAGCAGCCAGATCTAAAATTTGCACAGTAGCTAGCTTATAAATAATGAAACCAAGAGCTAAAATAAATAAATAAATAAAAAAAACAGAAGCTAATATCAACTAGCAGAACAGTAGCTAAAAGCTAAATTTAGCAAAACAAAAGCCAACTGTTAAAGCCAGAAAAAACATTAGTTAAAATCTAAAACCAGCTAAACAATAGCTTAAAGAAAAAATTAGCTCAAACACATTAGCCAAATCTAAAATTAGTACAATAGCTAGAAGCTAATATTATGAAAAACAAGAGCTAAAACTGCAAGAACAGTAGCTAATAACTAAAACTAGCAAAACAGTAGCAAACAGACAAGCAAACAAAAGCAGTAATTAAAAGCTAAAACCAGCAAACAGCTAAAAGATCCAATTTGCTAAATAAATAAACTTAAGTAGCCAAATCGAAAATTAGTATAATAAAAGCTGGAAGTAAAATAAAAAACCGCAGCTAATACTTACCAAAGGTAGCTAAAAGCTGAATTTAGTAAAGCAATCCTACACTCTACAATTTTCTTTTCATTAAACCAAAACATTAAACGCTAAATTGACTAAGATTTTGTTGATATTTTCTGGGTTGTTAATATAAAAGTTTGATACGTTTACTCAATTTACAGTTTACTTTATAATGATAATTAAAATATTTGCCTGCAGTTTTAGCTCTGAGTCTCAGAAAGGATCAATACTTTGTGGAAATGTAAAACACTGATACCAGTTTATTTTGCTCATCAAGTTTATCATCACACTTAATAGTAATTTACGTTATATCACACTCTGTTAAAGCTTATCAGCTAAATCCCTTCAGCATCAGTGTGTGAAGCTTTGTAACTTCCGTTTCTCAAACCCAGCTCCAGAACCAGTCACTGACCACAAACGTACTGTCTGTTTCTTTCTCTGATCAAGATTGCGAATGAGGTAATGGCTGTTATATCAAAGCAAGATCTGGTACATGTGAAGATGTATAAATAAAACTGCATTGCTCACGTTTTTTAGAGAACACACAAGAATTCTTGGGCTGCGTTTCCATTCCATGTGTTCTCTCCTTCTGCAGAAGAGAAATAAACCTTGCTACGTGTTTTTTAAACAAAGTTCTCAGTCTGCTAAATTTTATTGAACAACAAAGTTTGATAAAACTCCACAATTTAAAATACCCATTTCAGTAAAGCTAAAAATGTAAAGTTGAATATTTTGAGAAGTTGCTTGTCACTCTGGGAAGGGTCAAAGGTCATTTCCAAACTATCTGGAGTCTATCCCCAACATTTCAGACAGCTGACACAGGAGATTCACCCTGAAAGTCAGACCATGCAATGAGCTCCATCTCAGACTCTACAGGTCTCTGTTAGCAGGTCAAAGGTCAAAGGTCATGGCAGGACAATTAGAAAAAGACTGAACATGGTTAGCTTGTTTTAGGTGTGTCTTATATTATGGTAATTTTATATTGAGCTTAAAGCTCAAGTCTAAACCGATTTATAATAATTGAATATAATTTATTTCTGCTCATTTCACACAGTCTAATTACTTCTGTACTTATTTTTAGTAAAAAAAATAACTAACTCACATCTGTTTATTTAATTGTTTTCATATTTTCCTCCTTTTCACTGTCTGTTTGACTAATTTTTAGATTTTAGACTTTGCATTCTTATGATTTTTAGACTTCACATTCTTATGATTTTTAGACTTCACATTCTTATGATTTTTAGACTTCACATTCTTATGATTTTTAGATTTTTATTCCATACATTTTGTGTTTCCTTCTGTCTCTCTCTAAATGCTGTAACGTTGATAAACCTTTAATATATTTCTCACATGTAACTGAAGTAAATTTAAGGCTTCAATCACAGAGTATTATTGAGAAAGTCCCTTTAAAGATGCAAAAGTCCTTTTTTATCGCCTGAAGACACAGATTTGTCTTGTTTTTCAAAGAACAGCAGGATAACGGATGACCTGAACTGGTGGATATGAAGTTATTTTGTGAAAATCACTTCCTCTTTCCTGTTTCAGCAGAGCAGAGAAGTTTACGGCGAGCTGAATTCCCCCTGTGGTTTCAGCTCCGTTACTTTATTTCATGGTGTGTGAAATTGATTTGTTTCCATCCAGTTGAGAGTTCAACTTTAGAGTCGAACCTCCCTTTGCTTAAAACTTAGACCGAGCCAAACTTGTCCCAAAAATATAATGACTAAACGAGCCAGGAGACGATAACAGCGGTGCAGACAAGTGATTACAGTTTCAGAGATGATGAACTCCAGAGAACATTGTTTTGTGCTACAGTGTGAATGCTGAGTCAGCATTTAGTGGCGGGTTTCTGAGCCTTTTAGTTTTTAAGCAAAATACTTTGGTATACTTGGAGCTATTTTAGCCGTTCTTGTATCAAAACGTTCGGCTCATTCAGGAGATGGCTGCTGTGACTTTTTTTTTTAATTACTTTTATACTTTTCAAAATATTTAACTTTATTTACAAATATTTACCCATTAAATTACATTACTTTTAGCTTTTTCTAATTTTTTTTTTTACCCCCCCCCCCCCCCCCTTTATTTTTTTTCGCTATCCTTCTGCTACTTTTACCTTTTAGATAGTGTTCTGATGTTTTTAGCTAGCACTTTATTACTTTCACCTTTTGGTAAGCTTTCTGCTACTTTTGACTTTTAGCTATTTTTTCTGCTACTTTTGACTTTTAGCTATTTTTTGTTTCTCTAACTTGTTTTGCTAGCCTTTTGCAGCATTTAGTGTTCAACTAATATTTTGCTGCCTTTAGCATTTGATTTGCCCTTTTTACTTTGAGTTTTACTAAATCTTTGCTAATTTAGCTCATAACAAGCTGTTTTCGTCTCTTACTGCTATCCTTTTGCTGCTTCCATTTTTTAGCTCCTTTTGTTGCTTCTTGCTAGCACTTTCACTTTTCAGCTAGTGTTCTGCTACTTTTGACTTTTATCAATTTCTTGCTAATCTTAACTGTCTTGCTAGTCTTTTTCTTCATTTAACTTTCTGCTAACATTTTGCTACCGTTAGCATTTCATTAGCCTTCTTTTAAATAAATTTTAGCTTTCAACTACGCTTTTGCTAATGTAGCTTATAACAAGCCATTTGCTACTTATCTCTGTCCTTTAGCTGCTTTTATCTTTTAACTCACCTTTTTGCTGCTTTTAATGAGTGCTTTTTTACTTTCACCTTTAAGATAACTTTTTGTTTCTTTTCCCCTTTAGCTACTTTTTGTTACTGTTAATTGTTTTGTTTGCCTTTTGCTACATTTAGCTCTCATTTAATATATTCCTACTTTTAGCATTTGATTGTGCCCTTTTTACGTTTAGTTTTTACCTACAGTTTGGCTGTTTTGTTTGCTACTTATTGCTATATTTTAGCTACTTTTATTTAGCACTTTATTACTTCCCCTTTCAGTTAGCTTTTTGCCACTTTTAACTTGATTGTTTTGCTAGTCTAATGTCACATTTAGCATTTAGATTTTAGTTAATTTTCTACACTTAATTTTACCATTTACAGTAACTTCAGCTTCTTCAGCAAATGTGTTGTTAAAGACTCTCGGCTACTACTACATCATATTTCAGCTTATGTCTGTAAAATTGACTGAATTGTAGCCGTTTGTTTTTTTCTAACGCCAGTTGGCTGTGGTGGCCATCATATTTTTTATTTTTTTATTTCATTGGGTGATAACTGTTAGAGCTTATGATTTTAGATAATATGGAATATAAGTTTGTCAACCTGACGCTCCTTTGGGGCGCCCATGTCTGACTGGATGACAAACCCTCCTTCATGAGTCTAATCGTGCTAACCTCGTTTTGTCCCCCGTCCCTGTCTCTCCCTCAGATGTCTCAGTCGCAGACGTTCCCAGCCGAGCAGAAGAAGAAGCAGCAGCAGGGTCCAAACAAGACACCCAAGAGGACGTCTCTGTCTTCGCCGCCGCTGCCGCCAGCTCCGCCTCTTCCCCCTCTTCCCCCCCAGAACAATCACTCCAACCTCTTCCTGTCGAGCGCGCTGCTGGGTCTCCCAGAACCCCACCACCCCAACGGGGTCATCCAAAGCACCACTCAGGACGCACCTTTGGCCCTCATCACCAAACCTCGCAAAGACCCCGCCTCCCGGGGCAGGTCCCCCCAGCTCAACCCGGACGCCGGGTCCATGCCCGTCAACCTGAGCACGGGGGCCAGCCGGACCCAGGCGAGTACCCAGGCTGGCCCTCCTCCTCCGTCACAGCCTCCAACTACCTCACCCCAAGCCACAGGCCACGGATCCAGGAAGACCAAGACACCCCGGAGTAAAGGACAGACCCTGGGTCTGGGTCAAGCGGACCCTTTAGCTGCCTGGAAGGGCTTCTCCCAGAACCATCTGGTCCAGTCTCTGGTTGAACTGTTTCGAGGAAGCGAGTCCGGCATCGGGATTCCTGGGGTCAGTATCCCAGGAGTGGGAATTCCTGGGATGGGAATCCCCGGAACCTGTAACCCCACGGCTGCTCTTCCAGCCAACAAGGAATCTGACGACTCAGGAGACGACGAGGACGAGGACGAAGATGACGACCTCGAAGAGGAGGATGAAGAGGACTCTGAAGACAGCCTTTCAGGTGGGTCCTGTAAATATTTACATCTAAACAATAAACAAAACGAGGAAGAAATACAGTGAAGGCTGAGCGCTGAATGACAGCTGAAATTTGCTGTAGAAGCTGAAACTAAGTTAAAGCTTACATCTAAAAGAAGCAGAAACTAGCTAGCATCTAAAAAAACGATAACTAAAAAACCTAAAGTAGGAATTGTTGGCCAAGTCAAAAGTAGATAAATGCTAGCTAAAAGTGGCAAAACACGGGCTATAAGCCAAAAGTAGCAAAGGCTAAGTAAAAATTAGCTAAACTTTATCTACAAGCTACAAGTAACAAGAGCATTGCTATAAATAGCAAAACCCTAGACAAAAGCTAAAAGTAGCAAAATATTAACTTAAAGTGAAAAACATTAGATAAAAAAATAGAAGCAGTAAAAGCCTAGCTACAAGTATCAAAACACTAGCTAAAAGCTAAAAAAAAAGTAAAATGGTAGTTATTGGCCTAAAGTAGCTAGATGGTAGCTAGAAGTAGCAAAACATTGGCTATAAGTCAAGTAACAAAGGCTAGTTAAAGTAAAAAGTAGCAAAACATTAGCTACAAGCAAAAATAATCATAACGATAACTACAAGCTAAAAGTAGCAAGGGCATTGCTAAGTAGCTAAACACTAATCAAAAGCTAAAATTAGCACATTTTTTTTACTTAAAGTCAAAGCATTAGATAAAAAATAGAAGTAGCAAAACACTAGCTAAAAGCTGAAAAAGTAAGATGGTATCTACAGGCCAAAAGAAGCTAGATGGTTCCTAGAAATAGCAAAGCACCTGCTAAAAAACAAAAATAGTAATGCTATCTTGATGTAAAAAGCAGCAAAACTTTGGATAAAAGCTAAAAGATTTATATTTGTAGCTACAAGCTAAATGTAGCAAGAGGGTTGCTATAAGTAGCAAAACACTAGCCAAAAGCTAAAAGTAGCAAAATGCTAACTTAAAGACAAAAGTAGCAAAACATTAAATATAGGGTAGAAGTAGAAAGCACTTTACAGCTTATGTTTTAAATGTGCTCTTTAATGGGGCCCCCACCCCCGCGTTCTCTTTTCCATACTTTTGTCTGTTTAAACAGATCTCACTTTTAAACGAGACTCCGAGGCTTATTGTGATTAATCTGTATAAATAAAGGTTGAATGAAAAAAGTTGACTTGACTAGAAAAACTAGCTAAAAGCTAAATGTAGCAAAATACTGGGTAAAACCTAAAGTAGCAGAAGGCTAGTTAGAAGCAACAAACAGTTAGCTACAAATAGTAAAAATAAATAAATAAATAACAAATGGCTAAGTAAAAGCTGAATTAGAAGATGGCTAGCTAAATGCTAAGAGTAGCAAAAGGCTAGCTAAAATATAAAAGTAACAAAATGTTGAGTAAAAAGTAAAAGTAGCAGAAGATTAACTAAAACACAAAGCCAAAAGCTATCTCAATGTTGAAGTAGCACAAGGCTCGCTAAAATCTAAAAGTAGCAAAATCTGAGCAAACATTTGTCTACTATCTGTAGACTTTTCAAAAGCAACAAAAAACTAAAGTAGAAAACAGCTAGCTAAAAGCCTAAAACAGCACAAGGCTCGCTAAATCTAAAAGGAACAAAATGGTAACGAAAAGTTAAAATCAGCAAAAGGCTTGCTCAAAGCTAAATATAGGCAAATACTTGCTTAAAACTGAACAACCAAAAGGCTAGCTGTAAGCTTAAAGTAGCAGTAAAGCGACCTCATAAATGACAAAATGTTCCAGCTCGTGTTTTCAGTGTGTATTGAGGATAACTCTCAGCTACTACCACACCAAATTTAGCTCAAAGTCTGTAGAATTAGCTGAGTTATAGCCATTTGTGTTTGACAAGATTGCAGTGCAGTAGCAGCCATCTTGAATGGGGTTGACCCCAAATGTTTCTTAGTTGTAGCTGTACGTACACAGAAGATGTTATGAGGGTTATAATAAAATCCTTCCTGTGGTTGATGACAGATGCTAATAAACAGACATGGGCAAAACCATAAAACTGCCACTACAACCATCATGGTGTCTTTGTTCAGAATTTTTTTATTTTTTAATTCACGTTTTAGAGTCGGACAGCAACTCAGACAGCGACATTTCTGGGAAGAAGGTGAAGGAGTTGAAGCAGCTGCCATCCAGTTCATCCAAGAAGGAGACAACCTCCCATAGGTTCACCAAAGGTCCAGAACTCATGAACACCTCAGCCAATCACAACGCCACCAGCTGCTCCCCCCTCAACCTGCAGGTCATCAAGAGTCCCACCACAGCCACCAGCTCCAGTGCCTTGGCCTACCACAGCTCTGCCGGCTCCTCCTCCTACAGCCTGGCCTCTCCGTTAGGTGGGTCTGATCCTCAGGACAGGGTCAGCTGGGACTGGTTGAATCCATCTCAGCTTCTGCCACACCAAACTTTAGCTTAAAGTATGTTAAACTGACTGTGTTGTAGCCACTTTTGTATGTGCTAAGGCTAGCATCTCCCAGGAGATTAGTTGGTGACTCAGAATAGCGAGAAGACGCGCAGAATTTTGTTGCATTTTTGCTGAATTCTGAGATTTTGAGACCAAACTAGCAGAAACCTTACAGGCCCGTGACGTAACAATAAATGTTTACTTTAAGTAGCAAGAGGGAATTAAAAATCTACACCAAATAAAAGCCTTGGTTATAGAAGGATGAGATGGTTTGGATAAGGGAGGGCAGCTGGGGGTCAGAACATATATAGGGGTGGCCTTTTGCCTCCTTCGGTCCCCCCCTTGGTGGCACCCCTGGCCTCAGGAATGTTTTGAGACATTTTGGAGACTTTTTTTTTTTGCTTAGTGCCGTTTGCCAACTATACTCCAACAGCCACAGCAACTGGCTTAAGGTTGATTAGCTGTAGCGGCCATTTTGAGCTGAACTACTTTTGTTGTAGTGTAAAAAACAAAAAAAAGCTTGTTTGTTTAAGGAAACTGATATATCACTTTTAAATAACTAAAAATAACACACGTACACCTTCCTAAATCAAAAATACGATGATAAATGTGTTTCCAAACCAGAGTACAAACAATAAAAATGTAAATGAATTGCAGCCGTTTTTAATCTCGATAAAGCAGTTTTATACATTTTAAATAACTGGGTTTATTAAAGTAACTTTATGCTTTGGTCAGTAGAAAAATGTAAATAAGCTCACATTTTCAGCTGATTAGGTGCAAAATAAAGAACATTTGTGACAGTAAAAAGAAAAAGGTCAAACTATAGGAGTTTTTCTTTCAGTAAAGGCGTTGGTTTCAGATAAAAAGAAAAGGTTAAGAATCAGTAAATTGTGTTTTATATCTGGCTCCAGATAACTGAAAGCAGTCGACGAAACATTTCAGCTAAGTCGGCTGAAATAATGCAGAAGCAGCGCGTCCAGTTTGTCCACTCTCACCTCCGTAACAATAAAACACGATGCTGTAAGTGAAAGTCGCCGTTTCCCTTCTCAGTGACACGACTCAGCAATAAAATCCCCGTAATTCGGTTTAGACGTTGCGTTTTATTTGACAGAACCTGCGTCTCCACCGAGGAGTGGATGAACCTGCACCGTTAACGGTGCACTCGGTGTGGCCCAGTTTATTTTTCAGTCATCACTCGTTATTTTAGTTCGTACACAAGCGAATTCTCAGAATCTGGAGTTGAGCTGGTCGACCGCGAGCTCCCATGAATCACGAGGCTTTTCACAGCAGATCGCTCAGCAACACGCTTCAGGAATGAAGGTTTGCCGTGTTGCCAAAGTCCACGCCCGCCGTCCTCAGGTGGGGGAAGAAGGGTTTGTTCCGTATGAAGGGCAGGAAGGAGGCAGTTTGTTGCCACGAGTCAACCGCAGGTCCTGCAGCGGCATGCCCAGCAGCCCTGACTTGTTGTTTGGCACCGGACCAAGGTTCACTTCCGCTGCTTTCAGGGAGACTCAGCCGGATCAGAGAGAACCAGGACAAAGGTGTTGCCCTGCCAGGAAGTTAAACATTTACCATTTTCTGCTCGTTTTCTTACTCCTCCATGCCAATCAGGCCTTTATCTGTGATGGAGGATAACAGCCAGAGGTGAGGCCAAGTCAGGGTTATACAAGTCCCAAGTCTTTCCTCTCAGGTCTCGGGTCAAATCAAGACATTCATGTCTGAAATGAAGACATCCGAGTTTAGTCCTGAGTCAAATCCTTTACCTCATGTCTAAGTTCCAAGTTCTGAAATGTCCCCCGCGTCCTTCTCTTCTCGTGTCTTCCTGTCTGTCTTTTTTGTTTTCTTGTTTTTTGTCTTTTTGCTGCTGCTTCTTTGTCTTCTTCTAAAACTTTGGCTAACTTTGAAAGTTCAGCTAATATTTAAGTCACTTTTGATTTTTTGATTTGTTCATTTTAATTATTTTTTGTTGTCCTCTGTCGCGGAGCGAGGAGGGGGACTTGGAAATACCCTCCGTCCGTCCATCCATTGCTCCGTGCATGTTGTGAGCATTATAATTTGAAAGATAGTTCAGGTACTACCTTCCATTTTGGCATGTGGTTGCATCTAGGCCAAAGGTCCTTATGGCAAACTGGGTTGACACATCAAAATCCAAGATGGCTGCTGACATATATACCGTATTTTCTGGCGTATAAGTCGCTCTTGAGTATAAGTCACATCAGTAAAAAAAAAAAAAAGCATCATGACGAGGAAACAAACATATATAAGTTGCTTCGGCGTATAAGTTGCATTTATTATGCATCACCGCTGACCTGTTGTGTTTATTGTGCGTTTATTAAATGGGCAAAGCAGCTTCATTTCACCTGAGTGGCGCGGTGCCATCCATCCATCCATCCATTCCTCCATCCATCCATCCATCCGTCCATCGTGGCCAGAGCTGCTAGCTCTCCAGCGTTCCTCCGCCTGCACCAGCTGAGTGAAGTGAACGCGCACGGGAGGACTCGCTGTTGCAGTTCAATTGCATTGTGAATTTGGAAAAAAAACATATAAGTCGCTTCTATAAGTCACAGGACTGACAAATCTGTGCAAAAAAACTGCAATTTATACACCTGAAAATATGGTATTTATGTAAATCGACCATTCCAATTATTTGTGGACACTCTACTTTCTAGCGCTTTTATATTGCTCAAAATGATAGTTTCCTTGAACAATTAGGGTGGTCGGAGAAGATTCATGAGTTTAATGTTTAATTAATCTGTTTAGATTAATCTGCACTGCCTTGGAAAAGCGAATAAGAAACAAACCACAGCGTAACTCTTATCCACTTGAATATCTTGCACCAAAAACATTTAGGTTTTCTTGCACTCTCTGTCCTGTTCCAGAAAACACTCATCTGGAAAACGACAAATAGTTACTGTTAAAATCCCTCAGCGACAGGTTACATCGGCGCGCTGCTTGTTTACCTAACTTTTCCTTCTTTAGCTGTTACTCTGCTCATTTCAGCTTCCTTTCTCCTCTTTTAGCTCAGATCTTATCAGCAGAAGTTAAACAGCATTTTTTTCTGTGTTGTTTCTGTAGTGGAGTGAGTTTTCCTCAGGCTCATGTTTGAACCGTTTGTTTGCAGGTTTGGGGAAGAGGAAGAGGGTGATGGACGAGAAGGGGTTGACGGCTCCTCTGGAGTTGGGGTACGTGCTCTCGGCTCAGCGTCAGAAAGCCTGTTTGAAGTGATTCGGTGTGAATTTGTGGCGTGACAGCTGAAGGTGCACTTTATGGTGTTTTTGTTTGTTTCTAGGTGGCGGCGAGAGACGAGGATCAAATCAGTGGCCGGACGCCCGCAGGGCGAGGTGGCGTACTACGCCCCCTGCGGCAAGAAGCTGAGGCAGTACCCCGACGTGATGAAGGTATCCGAGTCTCTGCGCTGCAGTTTAGTCTCATCAATAATCCAGAAGCAAATGTTTGTGGGCAAACTGATGAGCGGTTCAGTTTGTAACGAGATCGGCGTTTTCTTCCGGACAACGTGCTTCATGATTCATGGCTCTTTTATTTTTAATAAATGCAAACTGCTCCTCCGTCTTGCTCACAGAATTGCTCGTGTATCAGTGTTTGTTATGAATTGTGTATGCTCCTGCTTCAGCTGTGCTCCACCCCCACCACCCCCACCCTGCTGTCTGTGATTCTAATAGTGAGAGCTCATGTTCTTAGATTCCCTCGCTGCCACTTTATTCACCCCCTCACCCACCCCCAGCCCCACACAAAATGACAACGCTTACTTTTGGGATGCACAACTTTGGCTCCGTTTGTACACATTTTTTTTTTTTGTCTAATCTTTATTTGTTTGATCAAAATCTGAACCCTTTGATTGAAGCGCTGCAGGTAAAAACAGTTTCCACTCATTCAGCAGGCAGTAAAAGAGCAGCGATGCCAGAGATAAATAGGAAAGGGCCTGAATTGTGCATCCCAAGGTCAGAACCATTTTTCTCTCCTGAGAGCCTTTGCTCTCAACCCACCCCCCCACCCCCACCCCCCACCCCCGTCCTCCTGCTTTTAAAATGATTAGCAGCTCTGCTCAGATGCACTCTTAGCATAGACCTCCTCCAGTCTAGTGCCTCCCAGTTGCTTTTCAATGTCGCTAAAAAAATTTAATGTTCCCTGCCTAAACCAACGCCAATATCATTTTCTCTTCTGTAGTATCTATCCAGAAATGGAATAAGTGGCATCACGCGTGATAATTTTAGCTTCAGTGCAAAGATAAGGGTTGGTGACTTCTATGAAGCCAGAGAAGGACCCCAGGTGACTGCCTTTCATCTCTCTCTGTCTCTCTCTGTCCCTGATCCCTGTTCATCTTTTCATGTAGCAGCAGTCAAAGCTTCATGCTGCAGTCGCTCTCAGAGCACAGAGAAATCAGCCCAGACCCTCAGTAGTCTGAGTCCACAGAGCTCTCACTGTGCATGACGACATGTAATAATCAGTAACCTTACTTCCACAGGTGACCACTCGTTCATGTGTTAATGTGCTCTGAAAAGTCCTCAGCCACACTGTTTTCTGTTTATTGCACGACGCTGTGAAAGGCTGCTGATCGTGGGCATGTTTGCTTGTCTGTTAGCAAAATATCTCATGACGGTTTAAGATATTTGCCACAGCCATTTGACCTTAAGGTCTCACGGGGCGGGAACTTGATGGAAACTAGTTGGTGACTCAAAAAAGAGAAAACAGGTCTCTTTCAGTTGTAGTCTCTGAATTCTGAGAGATTATGACCAGCGAGCTGCGTGGCCTTCACAGCAGCAGCTACTGTCAGTTTTTTTTTTTTTGTGCACAGCTTGCAAAACTGTATTGGTGGCTGTGCACATTGTTTTGTTGCGAAAAAGTCTCCTGTATGTCTTGCAACGTTCGTCAGGGTTCTCAAAGTCCTGTTGCTGAGGCTCGCCATCCAAGTTTTGAACATGTTCTCAATATCTGTGCAACAAATGTGGACACAAGTTAGACTCGGACTTTAAAAGTAAATCTTGGATTCGTCTCAATGTGCCGTCTCTATGCGTAAAAAAAAAAATCACTATTGAAAATTAGGTTACCAGGTCAAAATCCAAGATGGTCGCCACAATATATACA